AGTGTTATCTCGAGACACTTTACAAAAGAGCATATGGGATGATATGCAGGAAGGATTTCTCCTCTGTATGCCTCCCGTTCCTGTTGTCCACACTTCCTTGCCTCTGAGGTGGAGGAGGTCGGAGCAGGCCGTGCATGAATGAGGACGACGGTGGTAACATCGTAGGTCAACTCTGGAAAACGTTACCCACTGAAATAAAGTCAATCCCAAATGAAGAACTTTTCATTCCAAAAGTCAAGTGCTGGCTTATAAAAAAAAACTAGAGCTTTATTCATTTTTAGCTTGTTTTTAAAATGTTTGATTTATTTGGTGTGTAGAAATTGTCTTGTGACACATTTGTATACGTGTTAAATTGTTTCTTCATAGCTGTACTGCTTTCATTTAATTAGTTTTATTTGGTTCTGTTCATGCAGTACAGTGTAGAGGAATACTTTCTTCCAGTTTATTACATTGTTCATTTAAAGGCCCCATTTGGGAGCAGAGTTGAAAAAAGCTTTAAACACTGTGTCATCAGTTTCAGGCTCTTTATGTGAACTATGTTTCAAATGTATCGTCCCTATTAAATTAAATTAAATTAAATTAAATTAAATTCATTCACTGAAATGTTATCATCGGAAGTCACCCTGCGTCTGTGTTTTGGAGATGATTAATTATAATTTGATGAACTGGTTTGATCATTAAATGTCCTTTTTTTTTTTTCTTTTACATCTAACCAGAGTGTTCAAAGCTACCGGATCCATCCTTTGGACACAGACGCACTTTTAGTTCACTGATGAAAAGACAAATGTTGTGATTGTTTGCCTGTGAAGCCAAGTGTGTGTATGTGTGTGTGTGTGTGTATGTATGTGTGTTTGTTTGTGTGTGTGCTGATGCCAAAGTGATTGATAGCTCTCCTCTCCTAGCTCAGTTTCAACCTCCTCATCTCTGTCCTGTATAATGCCAGGTTGCCATGGTTACCGTTGCTCTTCATACAAGGAAATGGAAAAGGGAAGGAAAAAAAAAAAAAAAGGGAAAGATTTTCTCGTCCTCTCTCTTTTTATGAACCGCTCTTGTGGAGATATCCTGGGGAGTTTAGAGGAAGGGGGCGCTGACCTGCCTGTCGAGCACTGGATGAAAAATAATTTGGTATAAGAAAAGAAACTGTGACGGAAAGCAAACATTTATCTGCTTCCTCTTCAAACACAAACCTTTCCTCTCCCCTGTGATGCAGAAATGTGGTCGAGCTGATTACAACTGCAAACTCATTTTCGTCCCCATTAGAGCAACTAATTTCCATTTCCACTACATTATCACTGAGAGCATGCCAGAGGTGGCTTTCATTCCTGCCGTTGCTCTTTGCAATAATGACCTCTAGTGGTTCCTGTGAAAACAAACCAAAGAGGATCTGGATTACAGCGAACCTGTTTGGAAAGACATTCGCATGATGAAACATGTCACACTCTTGTTTTTTTTGTTGTTTTTTTTTATCCACAATGATGCAAAGAGAAGAAATGTAATCTTACACATGCCGTCTTGCTTTTGCATAAACCTCCATCATCCATCCAGCTTCACTCAGAGACAGAAGTTAATCCTTTTATTTACAGAGTTGTGGTTTTTGAGCCAAAACAGACGGACGTAGTCTAAAGAGAAAAGCAAAGTAAACAGGATGAGACGCCTGCAGCAGGAGGGGGGGGAATCAGCTTCTACAAACACCCACTTAGATCCAGAGTTTCTTCTGATCAAGGCTGCAACATGCACCAGAGCCCCCCCTGGAAAAATGCAGGTTTTGGCTGAAAGACACACAGCTGTTCTAGTGGGGAGTTCTTTAACTGACTTAATTTATGAAGCGCCTTTCACGTAAACATGCTGCACAAACATACTCCACATAGGAACAAATGGATTACAAAGTAAAGTAGTGCATCAGTAATGAAAACAATAGATAGAATCTAAAGCGAGTGTCAGACAAAGTGAGTTAGAGCACATGCCGCAGCAAATATGAGATGGACAGATAAACTTTATTGTGTGTCCCGACAGTGACTCTCCATTACATTTAAAACACCCATGCAAAGTACAAACATTAAAAGAGGACTGTTAAATACAACAGCTGCTCAAAAGTGTCTTATGTGGTTATTGCAGATGGACTTCTTTATGGGCATCATATTGACATGGAGTTCTTTTTTTTTCTTGCAATAACTTGCTAGGAAACAATTAGTGTTTTCAGTTACCTAATGAATTAAAGTCCAGTATTCACTCTCATTATCTTTTATTTAATGCCTCACAAATATGTTAGGGACACTTTAGACTCTTTAGCTCCTCCTTCCTTAGCGGACTCTATCTCTGTCTTTCTGGAGTTGGGTGCACATTTGTAAGCGTGTGGATGAAAACAGCTAACTTCTGCGACTTGAAACTGCGAGGCTGAGATCAGTGAGACTGTGAGAGTCATTTAAAGAATAAAGTGGTGGAATAAAAAACAATACAATGGGCTTAAATACATCAAATCCAGAGAGACAGGGACGGCTAATCCTCTGTGACTTTGTTTTGTGCGCGACACCTTCTATGCACATCGTCCTCTTGATTCATAAATAATATAAACACTGTGATAAAAGCAGCTTGAACTAAAGGATCTGAATATCTGTCACATGTTTTTTTTTTATGTTGTAGAGTTCAGGTGAACTTTCCCCTATAAGATCCAATTCTTCTTATGCAGCTTTGAAACTTCATCTTGTGTCATTTTTCCCTTAAGACAAAGTGATTTTTTTTCAGCATTAACAATTGTTAATGAAATATATAACATTTTGATTTCTTTACAACAAGTCCTGAAAGGCTTTTTAATTGACATTGCAGCTAATATGACCAAGCATTTTAAATATAGTAATTATTCATATAAAATGTTAAAGTCATGGCCGCCTCTGCCTTCTAGTTGCTGCAGGTCTCTCCTCACAGGACTGAATGTGACCAGGAGAGGGCGACAAAGCTACTTTTCTCCTCTGAGCCTGAGGCCAAACAAAAGAGGGCACTAGAATATAATTGATTTTTTTAATGTCATGATAGACTTTTTTATTGGCTCTTGACTTCATGGACATCGTCTATATTGAAAAAAACATATTTGGATGAGTTGAGTAAATAGTCCTGAAACATCCTGAATGACTCTGATAAAAGTCCTGGATTACTTCATGCTCCTTCAAAGTGTCTCATCTGCTTACGAGACATTTTTTCCGTTTGCAGCATTTCAGTTGAGTGTGTTTTAAACCGTTTTGTTGCAACACCTGTGGGTAGACTTCCAAGATGAAGTAATATGAATATAAACACGTACGCTCACAGACTACACAAATACTGAAACAGAAGAATGTGTTGCTCAAACAGCTGACGTAATGACTCAGCAGTTTTAACGGAGTCTGTGTATTCTGACTTCATGATTTCTGCTGATTCACTGTTCTGAGTGTAACCTCTTATCCAGAAAAGCAACATGAGTCATTGGACTGCTGTGTGAGATAGCAGTGATTCAACATGACCCGGACACAACAACATCCATGAAGCGGAACAACGGTAACAATAAAGTTTCGTACGTGAGCTTTATCAGTTATGTTATCAGCTTTGTCTTTCACCATTGTTGTTATAAACGAGGCAAACATGCCACCAAATATGTGTTTCTGTGTTCGTTATTGTCGAGCTCCTCTCGTCTGTCTTTCATATATGACAGCAGTCGAAAGTCACTACAAGCGCTCAACACTTCTCAAAGCTTTACACTGCAATGCATGATGGTATATGATGCTTTGATAGTGACCTCAGCTGCACACTACTTTTCAAAATGCATTGTGGGACACAAAAGTCCACTATATAGAAAAGGTAATGCTCTCTCATAATTAAGACAACACTACACAGGTGTATTCCCTATTTAGTTCCCTATATGAACTGTAGTGTGTGAATTCAAACCATCGACTGTAAATATTTATGGAGTGATGTCACCCACCTGTTACTGCAGGGGGCTTTGACTACAATTCTACAATTCACTTAGCAGACGCTTTTATCCAAAGCGACGTACATCAGAGAGTAAGAACAACACAAGCAAGGATCTAGAAAAAAAGGGAACAATGTCAGTAAGAGCAAACGATCAGCTTTGAGTCCGATTGGACACACAGGTGCTGACAGGAAGTGACCAGAGGCAAAGCACAACATTGACAGCAGTTCTTGAGAGCTCTAATCAGTATAGAAACCATCTTATAAGTCGTCGTTATCCAACAAAAACAATCGTCACAACCATCATCATCATCAATAAAATCGAGACCACCATCATTAAGTTAGTAGGTATTCATGAACGAGCTGGGTCGCATGACTCCCATCGATGGCAGTCGCGCTGGAATTTGCCACTTGTTTCAAACACAATCATTATGTGTGCTTGGAATTTCAAGCCTTTCTTGTTGATTGCCGTCAATAATGAAACCCCTGTATACATGATAAATAAAAAATAAGCATCATGTTTGTGCAGGCGCCTGTGACGCTTATTTTCTTACAACATAAACTGCTGCAATTTTGAAATCTGATGAAAACGAGACCACTTTGGCAGATACGGTGTATACTCAAGTCCATGTTAACGTATTCTTTGCATTGTGTTACACTATCAGTCAGTGCTGTTTTTGCCTTTTATCATCATCATAGTGCCTATCAGCTTGTTGGTGTTGACATCTATATATATGGGTGTGGTTCCTCTTTTTTAACTATTAAAATCATTCAAACTTGTTTGGTATTTGAGCACGTGTGCAGGCCTATCTTCTTCCTCAGTCTGCTGTTTTTGCCCTGCAGCGACGTAATGTGCGTCAAAGTGGAACTATCCCCTTTTTACAAAAGTGTTTTAAAAGTGTCTTCATCCAGACTGTAAATTTGTTGGTTTCTTAAAATCAGCCGCAGATCAGTTTCCTTACAGCTGTTTGACGAGACACCAGTTTGCACAATGGGGACTTTTTGTCTTTGTGTAATAGATTTATAATTTCTTAGTCAACATTCAGAAACATCCAACGTTTTTTAAAAACAGTTTATTTATCACACAAGCAAACAGATCGTAAACAAACAAGCTAACATGTCTGTTGGTTTGTCAGTGAGAACATTTTGTTTTGTTCGGTACCATCAGCAGATTTACAATGCTCCAGTTCTTGTTAATTCTTCTCAGCGAGGGGTTTGAGTCCATTACATCCTGGACCGTTTAAAACACAATACTATTTGCACATGTTTTTGTTTTTCATCTCACTCTGGCCCATTTGTGTCAAGATGTCCCTCCCAGTTTCAGAGTGACTGCACTCTTTGAATGTGTCATTAAAGCAACATCTCGAGGCCAATACAGAGACTGAAATAAACAACCTGTTGTGTCTCTAAATTATAGACAGACTCCCATAGAAGCCCTGTGCCAAGTTACATGTGCAGTTTGATCAAGAGAAACGCTAGAAGCAGGGAAGCAACTGATTGTCAGGATCCAGAGCAAAGAGGAATTATATCATGGCTCCGAGACACGCAGATGGAGGCTTCATGAACATGAGATAAACTGTGAGGATTTAAATATTGGACCTTTTTTTTTTTTTTTTGCTTCATGGCAAAAGAGAAAAAAAAAAGGCAGCCTGAAGCTTCTCAGCAGCCTGGTGATGGTTGACTGGAAGTCTCAGCTGGAACGAGATAAGCGTTTTTGAAGAAAGAAATCTATACCCGCTGGAGAGGCTGCTGGACGACAGCTGGAAAAACAGCACTGAACACTTGAGCTCCCTCAGCAAACTGACACATGACGGGTGGAAAAATCTGTTCAATAAATACACGTTATGACGACACATGGGTGTGAAAAGCAACTTGTAATGTGATTCACTTTTATGAAATAGTCAGACCTTTAATATACAAGTTTAAAGAGCCTTGCTTATTTGTGTCTCAAAACTCTTAACTTAACTCAAACATTGTAAATAAATAGATTTAAAAAAAAACAGCTTTTGAATCATACTTTATCCAGTCACTCTTGATTTAAATATATATTGGACTCTCACAGAGAGTTTCAAACACAACACAATATGATTCCTTTTGTGTACAGAATGTTTCGATGTGTCAACACCTGCTGACTGACTACAAATGATACCACTTGAGCCTTCTTCCAGTGAACTTTGTCATTTCAACGAATCTGTGGTTGTTTGAATAATCGTTACCTCTTAAAGCTCCTGTGAGGAGTTTTGAAGAGCTCATGAAACAGATTGAAGTGAATATTGATTCCTTTCTTTGAGCTACCAAAACAAACATGACCATCAGCATAATGACGGATTATTTGTTTTTTTAAGTTGAAACCACTGCTGCAGGGTAGGAGTCAGACAAAGTGACATCGACCTTATGTTGTGTTTTTGTCCACAGCAAAAAAAACGATAGTGATATGTTTGACAGAAAGAAAGCTGAGGTTTTTTTTGTTTGTAAAATAAAACGACTTAACCATGTAAATCAAGTTTAGATCAAGATCAGCGTAGAGATGAGAGGGACTGCTTTGTCCACAGGGGGCGCCACCTGATTATCTAAGGGAGTCAAGTCCCGCTTTTCTGTTCACTGTGTCATCTCCGCTGTGTTGTGCATGGAGATGCTGGCCTCCTGGTTCCTCTGCCTCCTGTGCCTCCAGAGCAGCACAGCCAGCAGAAGGAGCAGCAGGAAGCCCAGAGCTCCTCCTATGAGTCCCGCTTTTAGAGGCAGGCTGCTGTCCCTGGGCTGGTACATCGTGCAGGACTCCTCGCTGCTCCCCGCGTCGTTCACAGCCGACACGCACACCTCAGCGACATTTTCCACGTCGCCCAATCCGCTGCTCCTTTCACCCTTCCCAAACTTCTTACTTTGTTCCCCTCCGACTGTCACAATATACGCTGTGACGTATGAATAAGGTGCACACCACCTGACCACGACCTCTGATCCTTCCCAGGACACTGACTTGAGGTCAGGGGCCTCTGGGGCCACGTTATGTAGAGTGACCCCTCGACACAAGCAGCCGGTGGTGATGGACAGATTAGCACAGGGGATCTGACTCTCCAGACAAGGGTCATAGTCGCATCTTTGAGGCTTTCCTTCATCTGGGTGGATGGGTTTAATAGGTACCATAGTGGGGAGATCATAGTCTTCATAATCCTTTGGGGAAAGAGTCTTACTTAAAACCCCACGGGTGCTCATGGGACTCGCCCCTGGTGTCGTGGGCAGAGGAGAGGAACCTCTGACGAGAAGCAGACAAACGATCATCACGGAGGGAGGGAGGTCCCCGCAGGAAGCCATCGAGCTCTGTGGAGATCAGAGACAGTTAAAAAAAAAAAAAAGAGAAAAAAAAGGAAAATCTGTTTCTTGCATATTACTGAAAAGTATCAGCCCCTTGGGTTTCCTGCCATGGGTACATTCAGAGGAACTTTTTTGTCTTGCGTTAAAGAGCCTGAATAAGGACACAGTTATTTCTCCCCTGATGCTGCGCCTTTTAAAGATTATAAGGCTACACTGAGGAAGACGGCACAGAGTGAAAATGTGGTTCAAAAGTGAGCCTGACTTGAGTCTGAGAGAAAGAAATTCTGCCTAACTTTAAAACATAAACTGTTTTCTTTCTCTTTATAAAAGAAAGAAAAGAAGAAGAAGAAGAAGAACGCACTGCCTTTCCTCTTGAGTACCCATCCAGAACATGTCGACACTTAATTAGCTGAAATTTGTTCTGTGGCTTCTTTGTCAATGATTTATACACAGCTGCTGGGAATAATCCCCACTTGTTCAGATTTGGAGGTACTTCATACTAATTCAGCATTTCAGGCGGTATTGCTCAACAGGTCCAAATGCCTCTCACACACCCAACAACACACACAAACACACAGCTCTGTCAGCAGGATCCACTTACAGGAAAAAAATGCCTGTGTGATAGCCACAAGAATCCACACCAACATACCTCAAATGTGTTCTCTGCTGACCATACACAGATTGAAAACCAAAGCCCATTCAAAAAATCTGCTCAATTACGTCTGAGCTGAACTGCAGTCAGCCTGGGGCGTCAAAGGAACACTTACAAGTGCTTTTTGTTTTCTACCACAACTACTCCGAAACATGCCAAGTATTTAAAAGACTTACCTGCTATTTGCAAAAGTTTCTGTATCAAAATGTGGGTGAGCTTCTTCCGCTTCGTCTCTCCTCAAAATGCTTCTCACTCCTCTTAAATATGCTTCCCGACTCCCCAACAATCACCTCTTTCTTCCTGCCCTCCCACAACCCCCCGCTCCCTCACTCCCGACCCGTCTGCACCAGCTCCACCTCCTCCTCCTCCTCCTCCTCCTCCTCTTTTACTCTTTGAGCAGTGTGAGTTTCTGAGTGAGTGTGCATGCTATTAGTGGCATTACTAAAGTCTGCTATTAGTTACATAACTGCTACCTAGGCCTACATTTCAGATGATCTGTACCACATGGATTCCTGCTGCATGTGTCGACAGTGGCAGGTTATTCAGAGCGTGTCTCACTTGTTAATGGGCTCTTGTTTCCCTTTTACGGCTGAGAGGAGCTGAATGGGATGTTGAAGCCCCTATTGATTCATTTGAATGTGTCATCTCATGACATACTGCAAGTGGCTCCAGACAGCCTATCCCATCATGTTGCGGCAACTAACCTCTCACGTAAATGAAATGCATGACTTAAATCTAAACATGGAGCAAAACTGAAAGATCTTAAACTGCTGTTGCAGATGTTCACCAAAAGGCCGGAAATGTACCTGACTGGACATGTGAGGGGAGTGAAATGTACCGAATAAAAGTGCCAAGTAGCATCTTGTCTTAAAAAAGAAAAGCGTAACAGCATGAGAGGTAGAGTTTCACCGACAATATATCAAGATCTCAGCGTGTCCTTGAGTTAAAAACGAATCTGACTGACCAGCAGAAAAATGTATAAAGAGTTAAATAAATGAATGTGTTAACGTTCTTTTATTGAGTTGCGGTTGATGGTGAAAACAAAAACACATATTTAACATGTAGACCAATGGGTCATGAGTCCTGACAGAGGAACACAGTTTAGATTGAGTATATATCAGAACAGCTCGGGTATACAACACTAGACAGAACAATAAAATGAAACACCATAAAGAAAACTCAACTCAGAGATATGCAGGGAAGAGACAAAGAGCACAAGATGTTTTGTCGATGTGGAATTTGGAATAGGAACATTGTGTGACAGCTGCGTGGCCTTAAATCCAGCTGCGAACACGCACATATCCGTTCTGAATCCGAGCTGAGTCTGCAGGAACAGAGACGACTGTTAAATCACATTGTTCTTCAGCACTGAGATTCACAAAGTTCCCACTTAAAAAAACACAACAAGGCCATTTGAACTGATGGTGTCGCTTCGATTTTATGAACTGAGGTCATCGTGCTGATGATGCCCTCCACACTTGTGAAAGTTTGGCCCTTCAAATAATAGTAATTCTACAGAAAGACATATGTTGTCATGTAGCGATCATGAAAAAAACGTTCTTTCATAAATTCCAACATTTTTATATCCATGATTTTCTATCGTATGTCACTTTATTATGATCCTCATGTTTCTTTCATTCTTGGTTTAATGACCATGTGGTGAAGTAAATACGGGAAAGGTGTGGGTGAGTAATGGGTGAGGAGGATGTTTTAGTATGCTATGTGATTAAAAACACATTTAAGTATAAAGCATGTTGTACTACAGAGCCTCGCAAAAGATGCCTTCCATCTTGAGCCTGTCACTTTGTGTTTATGTTACAACGGCATATTTGAATTTTAGAGTTTAATGTTATAGACCAACACAAAATGTCCATTTAAAAATTGGATGGGGGGGGTGTTACATAATATTTGAACCCATCCCACTTAATACAAGTCACATTCACCAGACAAAGTCCAGATAAACACCTCATGTCAAGATAATGAGTAGGTAATAAGGTAATGAGTTAAAATAGCAGCCATTGCAGCAAGAAAATAACCATGAGTTTCTTTATATGAGATCTTTATCTTAGCTACTGTCTTAGACTCTTAACACATACGTCTGTATTTACAAATAAAATATAAAAACTTTCAAATGCTTTCCTGTGAAACGAAAAACTAACATGGGGGGGTAAAATGTATCTATATCTGGTTTTATTACATTGAAAAATTCCAATAATTTTTATGGGGAAGGACATTTTTCAGTTATATTCTGAGTCAGTTGTGTTGACCACAAAAGGTCCTTACAAGGAAACTGAGACAGAAGCTTGTTACAGTAATACTCGTAACAAAGATGGTGTGATGGGGAGCTTCTCAGAAACAGATTTAAAGTAACTGAGAAGGAAATATTTCAGTCAATCTCTGGAAGTAACACAAACTCAGGCAGATGCTAACGGTTAGACGGTTTGTTATACAACCTCTCAACGTACAGCCCCTCTCTGCCACAGACCACATCACTTTTTCCCCCAAACCGCCACTTGTGTACAGGCGGGGGCTGGATCTGTTTTCCTCATCAGGCACGACTCCATCGGGAATAACTTATTTCTAAATATGAAATGGAAGCTGCCAAATAGAAAACAACAAAAGTCTTGTTATAGCACAACCATGATGATCTGCATGTGTGTGTGTGTGTGTGTGTGTGTGGAGATTTATAGTAAACAGTAAAATATGACCAGGAGTTAATTTATCGCCTCGTCATAAGTTATTAGTCAAGTGAAGCACATGTTGTGATTTTTAACAGCGTAATGAAAAATGCCATGACTTAAGGTTCCAGCCTTTTAATCTCAGTCCATCTGGCAAAAGTTATTCAAAAATGTAAATTTATTAATCCAGCATTGTTCTTTTTATTCTACTATTCCACGTCTTGAAAAAAACCCAACCTACTATGTTATGGATCTCACGCAGATTCTGTGTAGGGAATTATTGACTTTATCTTTCTCGAAATACAACTTAAATGCAAGAGAAAATACATTCAACATGATACAATCTCAGTATTTACTTGTATTTAGGAGATATTCCATTGGGAAATGATTAATGTTGAGCTCATTATCTGACCCAAGAGTATTATTATTAAAGCAGACAACAGTGCCTCCTAGAGCCTGAAACACTGAGGAAACAGTGGATGAAATACATAAACGAGGGCTCATAATGCTGAGAGCCATGCAGGCGGGGTCTGTGTCTGCTCAGTTACACAACTGGGTGTGGGTGACATTAATTAGTCTCCATGATGGATCGTTACAAAGAACAGTTCATCGGAGCTGCACACACAAAAGTTCATGATGTGTTTGGAAACTTTCCTAAAATAAAATCATCTGGCAACTGCATCCTGTCGTCACAGCTCGGCCTGCAGGCTGCTGCTGCTGCTGCTGCTGTGAGAGAAACTGTCTTCTTCTCTGACAGTATCTCAGAGTTTGTTTAACCCCCTGAGAGGTCAGTGACCTGAGGATAAGACTGAGCCCTGAAAGTTTAATTTGTCCTTAATGAGGACAGACTTCAGCCTCTGTCTCCAATTGGCTGCTTAAGCCTTCTTGCTGGGTAGAGTTGGGAACATTTTACCCTGAGAGAAGACTTACAGGCTGATAAACAGGATGCTCATCATGTTGCAGTGGTTCATGGACTCAATCATATTTCTGATTAAAAAAAAGTAATACTTAAATGAAAGACGCTCCAGCTGTATATCAGGATGAACCAAGAAAATGCAAATTCTTATCATCATTTTGTCTCATTTTGCAGTAAAATGTAAACATGAGATATGGATCTAAATGAATACATGGTAATAAATATTTAAGAAACACAAAGTAGTTAAGTCTGTCTATTTGTTTTTGATGTATCCTTTGTTTTTATTTTCCTGACCAGCCTTATATCTTTAAGTTGAGTACTTTAAAACCACTGACATGACGTGAGAGGCTTCACTGCTTGAGATTTAAAAAAGGAAAAACAGAAAAGTTGCTATTCTTTTTGTATTTATTTATTAAATGATCAACGTCTATTCAGGTGTCAGCTGATTTATATTGAGACATCTTCTTTTCTGTTATTGTCAGGAAACCTAACTGGCTATATCCGAATCGGAATCAATAAAATTCACTTTCTCATTAGTGTGATTCTGTTTGCTGGAGACAAAACTGTTCAGTCAGTACATGCAAAAAAAGTTAGTTTGAATTTTATACAACTGTATTAAAACAAAGTAAATTCAATTGATTTAAGATAAAAACAACTTTTCTAATTGGCTCTATTGGAATCTAAATTAGCTTTATGTGGGTACAGGTCCTTTATCAAACCCAAAGGAAACATCCGTTACTCTGGCATCTTTTAATGTATTCAAGTCATTTTAAAACGTTGTTTTAACAAGAACACAGAGCAGATCAAGAGTACAGGGTCTAGTGTAAAACAAAACAGCCAGCCATGTGTCAAATACCACTAAAAAACTTTTTTTTTTTTTAAATGTGTTTTACAAGTTTTGAAAGAAATGTATCCAATATATTTTTTATAAACTCTTAAAGATTTATTTTTGGGCTTTTTGTGACTTTAATGGAGAGAAAGGACAGTGGATGGAGCTGGAAATCAGGGCGAGCGAGAGAGAGAGAGTGAGGAAAGACATGCGGGAAAGAAGCCACAGGCTGGATTTGAACCTGGGCCGCCCGCTTGGAAGACCACAGCCTCCACACATGGGGCGCGCGCACCAACCACCACACCACCAGCGCCCCATTTTTTTTACAAACTCTTCATTGAACATCGTGCAGGTACAGACAAACGAGGTACTTTCCAATATGAGGACATTTCAAACATAAACCCCTAAACTGGTGTCTTCAAGTCATAACCCAGGGTTCCAGTAAGCCACGGGACACTTGCGCATAACCTGAAGTACATCAAAGCATACAGTAGGTGGCGGTATGCACCTATAAACGTTGGTTTGCGATGCACCGAGAGAAGAAGAGAAGAAGAAGATCCTGCACGGAAGAAGCCCCCCCCCGCCCCCTTGTGCATGTCGTCACTCCTGTGCGACGGGCCTCAGTTGTACAGTACAGTACAGTGAGCCCAGTTTTGCAGACAGAAGCTCGAAATGGGTGAGTTGCCGCTGAGGGGTCATGGTTGCAAAGATTGAGAGCAACACTTGAATCAGGGTGCTTGTCAGAGCAGATTTCCTCCTGCAGAGACACGTTGTTTTGCAAGAGTCTGGTCTCTCTCTCTCTCCTTTTTTTTTTTTTTGTTGTGTGTCCGACTGGCGTTGATAAA